CCTATGGCCAGGCAATGGTGAAATGCCACAATTTCTCAAGTAAGAGAGTGGGAGATGCAACAAGAACGGCTTGATGAAACCCTATTTATTACTAAAATAGTATTTTACTATGAGTATCACAACCAGGACTCGCACCAGGGACCTTCTCTTGCCAGGCTAGCAGCAAACTACCCAATACGCCCCAGTTGTCATCACCCCAGCAAACAATGTTCCTCAGACTTATACAGGTGGAATACTGAAAATTAGAATATGGCTTAATTCGAACATATCACTTAATTAGAAGTTTTTCCAGGACCGATTTCTATCAATACCATTCCCACATAACAATGTCTGATAATTCAAACCTCAAACTGGGCATGGGAGAATGAATTTGAAGACACCACTGCAGCTGCACTTATAGTATGGTGGTAAAGACACACCTGGCAACATGGCGGTAAATACACGCCTGCCCACACACGCTCTCTTCTCGTCCGTATGAAGACATCCAAGAAGAAGATTGCCTGGTGAGTCCAGCGGGGAGGAAACGTACGTCGCAATCGAGCTACGTCGTTGCTGTGTCATCTATGTGCCATGCGCTACCTGATGTACCAGCCTGCTATGTCGGATACCGCCAACCATGCATCGACTAGGCGCCAGGAGTGAACTGGTGGTGGTGGTGGTGGTGGTGGTGAGAAGGGGAGCTCTGTGCCAGAACCTTGCAGCCATATTGCCAGGTGTGTCTTTACCACCATACTAACTCCTGAGTCAAGCTCTGTATGAAGACATCCAAGAAGAAGATTGCCTGATGAGTCCAGCGGGGACGAAACGTACGTCGCAATCGAGCTATGTCGTTGCTGTGTCATCTTCTATGTGCCATACGCTGCCTGGTGTACCAGCCTGCTATGTCGGATACCGCCAACCATGCGTCAACTAGGCACCAGGCGCGAACTGATGGTGGTGGTGGTGAGAAGGAGAGCTCTCTACCAGAACTTTGCAGCCTAGAGAGCGTGTGTGGGCAGGCGTGTTATTACCGCCATATTGCCAGGTGTGATTCTTTACCACCATACTGATGAACCAATCGAACTGGGCATGGCCGGTTAATTAGAAGTCCCACAGAATCCACCTGCATAGAAAACGTGTGGGATTTGTGCTGATAATTCGAAGCTAGCAGGATATAGTTCGAAGTTCACTGTTCACTGTACTGTTCACTTCAGTTTGCATGAGCAGGCTGCACTGGCGAGTTCATTGTCCGTGAAATCTGTGTCTAAGGCCATGTGAAATAATTATATTGATTGTTTATCGTCAGATTTTCACGAGAAACGGGAGGTATTTTATTTTAAACAGTTTCCTCTGAGACAAAAATGCGATAATACTCATAAAAAGGACACACTTCAGGCTCACTACGAACATCTTGAAAGTTTTCACAAGTATACTTTCAAGCCTTCTCATCAGGTGACATACAGGCAAGGGAAAAGGAACAGGAACAGTGGATTAAGTACAGTAAGGCGGTGGTAAAACAGCGCAAAGAAGAAGATAGCTAAAGTAAACAGCGAAAATGCGTGCCCTATACACATAGCAATAATGACACAAAGGTGCAAGTGCGAGAAAACTCAATAAGCGTGACATGTAGTGCGACAACAAGAGACAACCACTGGACATAACTAACTGGACAAAACTAATGAAGTTTTGATGACCTACCTAACAGCCTAAGTGTGACAGAGGCAACGGCTAGGGTCCACTCCACTAGCCATGTGATATCGGATGTGTCCACCGCACATGCTGATTGTGCTGATGTTAGTTCTGATAAGTATGAGTCGTCCATTGCTAGTCATTTGTTTGAGCATCCTGATTGTCGTGTTGTGTATTCAGATGATTGTTTTTCGATTGTGTCACGTGTACGCAGTGCTAGATTGCTGAACGTTTTGGAAGCCGTATACATCCACACAAAGAAACCCAACCTTTGCAAGCAGAAGCAAATTAAATTCACACTTAAGCTGTTAGGTAGGTCGTCAAAACCTCGTTAGTTATGTCCAGTTAGTTATGTCCAGTGGTTGTCTCTTGTTGCCGCACGACATGTCACGCTTATTGAGTTTTCTCGCACTTGCACCTTTGTGTCATTATTGCTATGTGTACATTTTCGCTGTTTACTTTAGCTATCTTCTTCTTTGCGCTGTTTTACCACCTCCTTACTATACTTAATCCACTGTTCCTGTTCCTTTTTCCTTGCCTGTATTTCACCTGATGAGAAGGCTTGAAAGTATACTTGTGAAAACTTTCAAGATGTTCGTAATGAGCCTGAAATGTGTCCTTTTTATGAGATTTTATTTTATTTTTCATTTTGCACGTATGGCTGTATGGTACGTGTTCGCAACCCCTAGACGTCTAGATGTAGGTGACTTGCCACTTCAGTGCCACCGTTTCAGCGCGATACATTTCAGCGCCAGCACTTCAGCGCATGGTTTCACAGCGCCAGCTTCTTCAGCACCGCGACTATCAGCGCAGTTAAGTACAGCGCCAGCAACTCAGCACGAAAAAGTAAGACGCGGTAGTTTACAGCGCGAAGAAGTACAGCGCGATCAAGTTCAGCGCGGTAATTTTCAGGATGCAAATAAGGAAAAGTGAAACACAACAACCAAAGTAGGACACCAAAGAAAATCAGGCAGCTGATAATTTCTTTCACTTTTCAAGCTTCGGACTTCGCCTATCAAGATCTACAGCCACGCTGATTAGAGGCCGTATAGGTGTAGATCACAGTACAATCATATAGTACATTTACCGGAACTAAAAATAAAATAATTTGGCCAGGAGGGCGAAAACTCGAGGCGGGCGCGGACGATAAACAATCACTGTTTTTTTTTTTTTTTACTTGGCCTAATGTGTACAGCACAACTCTGCGTGACCATGAGAGCATTTTGACATGCATATTGTGTTGTGGGTACAGGTTTGGATAACTAGAATGCCCGGATAATTAGAAGTTTTTTGGGTTCGAATTATCAGGATTCCACCTGTAGTATAAGTGCATGTAAAAGCAAGGGGAGTAGGGGCAAGATGCCCTCCTTTTCTATGGAGCATAGTCACCAGTACTAAGTTCAGTCCACACACGAAAATATGCAGACTTATAGGGGCCATTCAGCATTATCGAAAATTTTCACGAAACGAAAAAAGTTAAGGTACGAGTCTTATGACCCTCCCCCAACCATCCACATCCCTGAACCCACCCCCACCCATAGACGAAACTATTTTCGTTTTGTGTAAAGATTGATAATTAAGGACGGCCCCTTACTTTCAGGTGATTTAGAAATTGTTGCTGCAGAACAGGATACAGACAATCAGGAAAAGAAGATGTAAGAAAGACGAAAAACAGCTGCTCAAAGATGCTCAGATGAAGCATTCATCTAGCATGCGAGAATGGACCATATTACTCAGACTGTATGTAAAAACAAGAACCGACGTCACGATTAATGTATCGAAAGTGGTACAGTACACCGGTAGTCACAGTGTGGCTCTGCACACTTCTCACTAGCCAGGCACACAGAAACTAGCTTTTCCATTGCAATGGCGAAAACGGCGCCGGTCAGTAAACGACCCAAGCAAGGCAAACGTGAAGTAGCAAAGCGGTCAGCGCCAAGTATAGTGTATGCGTTACGGAACATACGGGTTCACCTCCGATGTGTGCTGCAGCCGCATATGGCTGGCTGGCGAGTTCAGGTGAGTTCCGGCGTACGCATGTTGCGTACAACCGCGGCGCGCATGCAAGTGTCGCTTGACATGCATCAATGAATAGCGTGGGATTTGCGGGCTCTCTGAAGGCCACTGGAGCGCGTGTGAAGTAATGGCTTGTGAAATGTGTTAACCTACATTACCGCAATCTCTAATGTGCTATTAACCCTTTCAGGGTCACAGTGCATTTACTGTGTCTGGGCACTGTGGTTCAGTGCATCAGTACAATTGTGGAGGTAGCAACAAACACATTGTCACACCATTATTGTTTCTTAACCCTTTCACGGTCTCAGAATCCAGTCAAAATGAGGCTATTTACAGAATTCAACAATTTCGTACCTTGATTCATCCATAACTTCAGTTTCCTTTCGCTGATTTTCGTGATCTTGGGCTCTCTGGAAAGCTCTGGACAAGAGCTACAATTCGACACCAAGCGTGCCGTGGATCCAGCGCTGCAGCGCAGCGACATCGCCCTAGTGCTTGATTCACGACGAGAAACAAGATTCAACAGCCATTTCCCTCTCCTTGCTCACATCGAGCTCATATTTTTTGGGAGGAGTGCTGCGAGTCCATACTCTCATTTGAATCCGTGTCTCTATGGCGACAGCTAGCTGCAAAGGGAAAAACCCGTCCTCAAGACCCAGCTCGCCCACTCAAATCGTAAATGAGCCGTGACGCAGATCGCGAGCTTCGTAGCATCGCAGCCGTTCACTCTATCGCTTCGGGGATTGTTCCTACGGATAGCCTGGAGCTTTCTCTTCAACCCAGATATTTAGATGTTCGAATTTGCTCAAAAATTGACTGAGTTACGATAGTTTGGAAAATCGATCACCGGTGATCGATTTTCAAATGTGAGACCGTAAAAGGGTTAACGGATTTTCACTTTTTTTTATGGCTTTAAATAGGCTGCATTCACACACAGTACAAACACTCTAGTGGAAATCCTCGTACAAACCACTTGCAACAAGTATGCGTTCACACAGAAAATGCAGTTGCATGCCATGCACGTAAAAAGTGGCCCACGTAACCAGATATCCATGGTGAGGCGCGGCAAATTTGAATTTTTGCGCCAGACTAGCTTCACATACCGCACGCTTTCGCAGATGGCACATCTACCACTTGTTTCAAAATTGCCTGAAAACAAAACGAAAAAATCCGCTTTCAAAGTTGCCTTCAAAGCGGCTCCAGGATTGCTTTCAACGTACATATACAGTGCTGGCAACTGAAATCCGACCCCCTTGCCGGCCCGCCGCGCCGGCAAGGGGGTCGGATTTCAGTTGCCAGCACTGTATATGTGGTTTTTCACTTCCCGCGCGTGTTTCTATGGGCACTTGAAAGAACATGACTGATGAGGTATGCATGTGGTTTGGTACCGTGTGTGAATGCAGCCTTATCACATGTCACGTGACTGTTTCCTTGGATCGGGCCTATCACTGATCTGTATGAGCGGGCAATAGATCAGTCCAACGCTTTCATGGATTCTTTCAGGTTAGTGTATTCAGTATTGTTAGGCTGAAAGTGATAAATCCATTATGGCATGGTTGGTCGGGCAATAATAGATTTCCAGTGCCCTCCAAGTGAGCCATCGGGCTCACTTGTCGGGCACTGAAAAATTGTGAAAATCCATTATTGCCCTCCCAACCATGCCATAATAATACTTACTGGAAAGATCGTTTCCTGCTCGTCATCTTCCACGTGCTTTGCGAGCATACAGCACCCCAAGGATGCCCTACAATATAGCCTCACCAACAGTGTCCCTATCGTGCTCCAGTTTGGCATCAAGACCTCGCACAACAATTTCCTTCAGTTCAGGGCTCATACCCAACGTAGTAATACGATTCAAACTGCACCAAACTCATGAGATTCAAGCAATTCAAACGATGTACTCATTCGTCATGTTGCCTTTGACATGTCATTGGGAAATCCACTTGAATGCCTTGAAAGTCGCAAAAAAATCGTCGGACGGAACCTAAGAAAAATGTGCAGATCGAAATCGTGTGTTCAATTTATCGCCACGCGATCATTGGTTGAGCTATCGCCCCATCGAAAACATCTCTGGAAAGCCCTTTCCAAGACCGTTCCAATGAGTTATTATCATGGCGATGCGATATTCCGTTCCAGAGCTATGACTGTTTGTACAGTGATCTATCCAGTGTGTACGGTATGTGCACTGTACACAAAGTATAGCGCGAGTATACTCGTCATTGCCCAGGCGAGATGGGGTCTGCATGGCGAGTATACTCGTCATTGCCCAGGCGAGATGGGGTCTGCATGGCGAGTATACTCGTCATTGCCCAGGCGAGATGGGGTCTGCATGGCGAGTATACTCGTCATTGCCCAGGCGAGATGGGGTCTGCATGGCGAGTATACTCGTCATTGCCCAGACGAGATGGGGTCTGCATGGCGAGTATACTCGTCATAAAACAGGAAAAGGGTTAAGTAGCAACTCCAGAGTGAGCAAAACTGGCAAACATACACATTCAAGCATGCACCCCCCCCCCCCCCTAAATAACTGCCTAAACACCTTACATGGTTATGGGGCAGTAGGCCAATGAAGCACTTCTTTCTTTCACTGAACGCCACAACCATAGCCTGCGCATCCTGCGCTGTTGGTCCGGTTGTAATGGAACACACTCCAGCCTGAAAGACGCACAACACAAAATGCTGGCTTTGAGTATCAAAGCCAAGTTAGCCCACGCGGGCATATGCACAGTACAGGTCTGCTCTCGATAATACAACTCTCACTTGTACATAAACCTCGTTAGTACATAAAAAAGTCAAATCCCGCGCCGAAACAGCATCACTCCCATACAAATGTTGTTCTACACAACATAATCCTACATTATATAAACCTCGACATAACACACGCTACGGCGGTCCCCGACGTGCGCACTCTCGATACAACATAAATTCACGTGGACAGTATGATCAAGCGGTAGCTGTAGCTAGGCAGTTTAGGCCAGTTTAGTCCTACATAACGTAAACCTCGGCATAACGCACCCTACGGCGCAGTCCCCGACGTGTACACTCTCGATACAACGTAGATTCACGTGCGCGGCACAATCAAGCTGTAGCCGTAGCTAGCCAGTTTAGTCCTATGTGCATATATTCTGCGGCATTGATGGTATCTGATGTCGATGGTGGTACAGTGTGTATATGTTTGCACGGTTGAACCCGCCTTGTAATACCCTTCATTTTGAGGTGCATCTTGTATTTTACACACGGTTTTCCACATAACATAACTCTCGATATAACATAATGTTTGCGTGGTCCCAGAGATTACGTTATATGGAGAGTAGACCTGTATTGGTCTCATCATGCATATCAGTAATTGACCCGCGCTCTGCGAAAACCAACCTTAGGTGCTTCGTAATTTTTTCGAGAAAAAGAACAAAACGTCACGGTCTGTCGATTTTTGAAGATCACAAGGTGAGAGTCATGGCGGAACGAAGTAGAAGACGGTCGCTAGCTCAAATTGCTGTGGGCTTCTCCCCAGAGGTTTCATCCGAACTCCTTCACGATGAATGGTCATTTTTTGGCCTGGTCCAATCACAGTTCTGATGACAGCAGTGCCGAGTAGAGTCGGATGTGGAATCGCAGGACGCAACGCTGATCGAGCTGGACGGCGATGCGGAGGAGAATTTCGATCAGGCGTCAGTTCTGCCACCAGCACAGCCCCTCAATGCCGGCAATAAACAGAGTGCAGACTGCAGACCAAGAAAAATCGGTTCAAGTACTGTCTACAATCCAGGAGGCGCACGACAAGTAAGTTTGACAAGGGCTGTAGTTGTTCCGCGCTGGTGCTGTTTCAAGAGCGTGGCACTTGAAACCTTGCTTACACTTTCAGCGCATACAGCGCAGGTCCTGACCAAGTCAGAGCGCTGCTTGTGTGTAGGCGGAAAGCTAGACGTGCTCAGGAGACGTGGTGAGGCTACCCAGCGCGTCCAGCATACTGGGAGATGTGATAGATGGGGCTCAACAATACTACTCTGAACTACTGAAGTACAGACTATCTCAGTGGTGGTGTGGAAGTCATGTACATGAATGTCAGGAAGTCTTTGTATATGCTTCCAGGATCAAGCCCTGGGTGCTGAAATCTGCGCAGGCTGCTGTCAGTGCAAGTGAAATCAGCCCAACACAGGAAGGGAATGAACTCTGGAATGCCGGTGGAAGACGTTGTGGAGCTGAAGCATGTTATAGTCTGAGCATTATGCTACAGTTCATGGCCTCCCTTAACTTGCACCTCCACATGGGCACAACAAGCCAGTACCAACCTACATGTATTTGCCCTGTATCACTACGAAGAAGCTTGTTCACCAGGCGTTCACAACGCCTGGTGGCAAAGCTGCATACAGTACGTTTGGCAAGATTCGGAAAAGAGACTGCCTGTCGACATTGAATTAGCTTTGATTATGTGTTTTAGGGCACACGGCCGGCATTGTATTTGTAACACGGTGCTCTGCTGTTTTCTTCTAGGCCCTATTTGGTGTGAGTGAACTGCGTAGTGAATCTCTCCTAGGCCTAGCCCACATGTGACCCTCTTTTCCCACTTCGTGCATTATTGTACACATTTCGCGTGCTTTGACCCCAACTGCCATATCTGTTGGAAGTTCAAACTGGAGTTCAACTTTCGCTCCTTTTGGACGCCTGACGTCATAATCGTTTACCGTGTTTTAGAGCGGAGAACAGTTTTTCTTCTTGGTCTAGTTTTTGGTTTTTTAGTTTGGAAGTTGTGTCTGGTTAGACCTTCTTCTCGTTACAGTGTTTTCGATAAATAGCACTTGATATGATGAGTTTTTGATGTTCTCACGACGGAGACGAGGGACTGTGATCGCAGCCACCGTTGAACTGCCTTGGAGTGCAGTAGTAATAGTATTTTAGACCCCCCTTTTTCCCTCGTTTATGTCCGTTCATGACATGGTGCTGTGACCAGGATATAGCATATGATGTCAAGTGAAGACTCAAATCGTACTAGTAAAGGTTGTGCTACAGCCACAACAAGTCCGGAAGATGACTTCCAGAAGAAAGGCCTGCAGGCCATCAAGGACGCGCAGAAGCGTCGACGTCGGGGAATACGACGGTGCGAGCGGATCAAGGCATGTACTACGTACATTTTGGAAAAAACAACAGAAAGAAAAGAAAGCTATGTGAAAGTGAGGATTGATCCAAAGAGGCTTCAGCCCCAGATTGACGATGCCGTACAGTTGAAACGGGAAATCCGACTCATCCAGGATGAGATATTCGATGTCCTGGACGACTTAGAAAGATGTAGCGTCCATGACGAAGAAGAAGAGTGGGAGCGTGAATTTAATGTGTCTTGGCGTATTTTTGAAGATGCCCAACTAGCTGTCGACCAAGTCGTATTTGAAGAGGAGAAAGTGAAGCGTCATCCCAATCCGCAATTCTGGCTGCTCAGCAACAGCAGCAGAAAGCCTCAGTGACTTCAGTGGATGCCACCAACAGTAGTGCCAGTGCCACTGAGGACATACCAGTAGTTGATGAGGAGGCGCATCAACAAACAGCAGTGCAGCTGGAAGAAGATCCTAGAGACCAGGACTAGTCTCCAGCTATGATCAGTGTAGATGGCATCCGACGAGCATCGTCAAGTGTCAGTATCCACAGTACACCAGCAACACTGTCCACCATTGACGTGGCGGCACAGGCAGCAGTAGCAACCATGCAAGCTGCACGCTCCAGTCCAGTGGTGAAACTCCCACAGCTGAAACTGTCTCAGTTCAATGGAGACATCATGGACTGGCCAGAATTCTGGCAGACATTTGAGTCCTCTGTTGGTCTTCGCCAATCGTTGCCGGACGTATCAAAATTCACGTACCTCAAAAGCGTGCTGACAGGTGTTGCTGCAGCAGCCATCGAAGGCATTCTAGTAACAGCAGCTAACTATCCTATCGTAGTTACAATGCTGAAGGACAAATTTGGACAGCCTGAGCTGATAGTGGCAACACTGTATCGTAAACTGGCACAGCTGCCATGATGTAATATCAGGTTTACTGAGGTGAAGGCTACCATTGACCAAATGGAGAAACTCCTTCGTCAATTGGAAGCTCAGGGAGAGAACCTGGATACTCAGCGCCGCCTCATTCAGCAACTCTTCTCGAAGTTCCCCTTCCAGCTCGTCAGCAAACTGGAGGAGCAGAGATCCGACCATACTGTGCCACGGACGGTCAAAACAGTACGGGAGATGTTAGCGAAGTATGTAGCAATGCAGAACACAGTTCGTCAGTTCGCCGACAACACCAGCCAGACACCTCAGCCTAAGATACATGGACACCAGCAACAATACCATCGTCCACCAACAATGGGATTTGTATCCAGCCAGGCAAGCCCCAGAAGAGAACCGTCCTCCGTCTTCTGCCGGTCAAGCCATTTCAGTGATGAGTGAGTGTACCAACTACTCAACACTGGATTCCAGGAAGAATCAACTGTTGTCCCTACGTAGGTGCTTTGTGTGCCTCAAAGAAGGCCATATCGCAAGGAATTGTGCACACTGTTGCAGAAATTGCTACCACTGTAGCGGAACAGGCCACAGTCGTGCAATTTGTCCCAAGAAGGGTCAACAATATAATCCAGCAGACGAAGGTCCGAAACACCAACAACCAAATTCACTGGCCAATGGCAGTCTACAGGCAGCGGCAATAGCAATCGCAGCTTTGTCACCGGCAGAGATGTCAAGCCAAGAGCCGACGGCAACTCCAGATGAAACCACGGAACTAGCCACCACGAGCATCTCAACACTGAAAGCAGTTATTCAGTCAGCCATGCTGCAAACCGCTAAGTGTAAAGTGATTGACCATTGCGGGAAGAAGGTCACGGTGAACTCACAACTGGACAGTGGCAGCCAACGATCGTTCATCACTGCAGCTCTAGCTAAACGACTCCAGCTACCGGTCGAGAATCAAGAGGGGCTCTACCTGAACACCATGGCAGCAACTAAGTCCAAGAGCTTCAATTCGCAATCGTTCCAACTCGCTGTCAACCTCCGAGACTAACACGGCACAGATAATGGTAAATACTCTGCCTACCATAACCAATCCAATTGTGAAACAAGCCGTGCAACAGACCGACTTGGCGTTCCTTGAACAGCTGTCTCCAACAGCGCTAGCAGATTCTGTTCCTCACGCAATGGAACTGTCAACATCGACTTTCTAATCGGTGCTGACTACTTTTGGCAACTGGTGGGCAATAATGTTATAATACTGCCATCAGGACTCAAGCTAGTCTCCTCCGAATTCGGATATCTTCTCACCGGCTGCAGATCACTACCGGATGAATGCAGCAACGATGACACGACCTCCCTGGTGGTTACCAGCAGAGGTTCAATTTTCTCAGGTGCTGCAAGCGTCTCCAACCGTAACACAGATGACAGCGCACTGTCTCAATTCTGGCAACTGGAGAATATTAGAATCAAGGATTCACCCTACACGAATGATGACGAAGTCGCACTGGCGCAATTTTGCAAGACAACGGAATATTCCGATGGCAGGTATTCCATCCAATGGCCATGGAAGCCTGATGACACCAAAGATCAACTTCCCAGCAACTACGGCTTAGCCCTTGGCCGAATGAAATCACTGGCCGAACGACTCGCTACAGATGGACAACTGCTCGAGAGTTATGACAAGGTGATCTAACAGCAGCTAGCTAAGGGAATTATTGAAGAAGTTCAACTTTCCGGAACCAGTGGCAACCAACACTACAGTCGTCCCTCTCTAATCCGGCACCTTTTGCAACGGCATTTTCTGCTGGATAAACAAGGGTGCTGGATTATCAAATCCTGTCCTCCAACCCGGCCCACCTACTAACATACATGTTTGTGTCGTACGTCAAAGCGCAGGGATTTTTCGTGTCAATCCAAGTACTTTGTGGAGTGCATGTCTATACAGTGCATAGGATATTCCCAAGTGTATGTTACATGTGTAGAATGCTCCCTGATAAGTAGTTCATGCACTGACCAAACTGACATAGCTGTGCTCCGGTACGGTATGCGATGTACAACTGCTGGATTAGAAAACCGAATTATGTGCAGTTTGAGCGATTTGTTGCGGAAAATCGCTGCTGGAGGCGGAATTCAAGTGCCGGACTAAAGCGCAGAAAATGAACTGAAAAAATCCGTTTTGCCAGAAAGTGTGCTGGTTTGCAAGGGTGCTGGATAAACAAGTGCCGGATTAGAGAGGGACGACTGTATAATATGTCTATATCCACAACAGGAAGATCCAATGCCATCATAAGCCTTTCCTTTTGAAGATTATGACATACAGATATATCTTGCAACATTTGGCACAAGTGAGTCAGGGGAGAGGAGGTGAGTCTCTCAACCAATCGGGCGTGGAACGGCTCATAACCCTGTAAACTGCATCCTTGAGTGAGGATAACAAGGATGCAGTTTCCTTGTCAGCCTGGTATTTTCTCTCTCTCCCTCCCCTTTACCATAGCTTTCTGTGCCAGGAGAGCCACATACACATGTCTGCTGTGTTGCTGCTACAATGTTGTGGCAGCGGCATCTTGATGTGGTGGACGGATGTTGTAACAGTGTACCCATTTGCTGTGGCTGGGTGCCGTAGTTTGTCGCTTGTGCATGTTTGAAGTTGCCAGGCCAGCTTGTATCGGTGCGTTCCCGTTTGATGATGCCAGGGCCGTGTTTGTATTGGTGCGTTCACGTTGAGTTTGCAGTGGCACCATGTTTGTAACGGCGTCACCCGTTTGCTGTCGCCGGGGCCGTGTTTGTATTGGTGCGTTCCCTTTGAGTGTGCCGAGGCACCATGTTTGTAAAGGCGTACCAGTTTGCTGTTGCCGGGGCTGAGTTTGTATTGGTGCGTTCCCGTTGAGTTTGCCGGGGCACCGTGTTTGTAATGGCGTTTCCGTTTGCTGTTGCCGGGGCCGTGTTTGTATTGGTGTGTTCCCGTTGAGTTTGCCGGGGCACCGTGTTTGTAACGGCGTTCCCGTTTGCTGTTGCCGGGGCTGTGTTTGTATTGGTGTGTTCCCGTTGAGTTTGCCGGGGCACCATGTTTGTAACGGCGTTTCCGTTTGCTGCTGCCGGGGCCATGTTTGGATTGGTGCGTTCCCTTTGAGTGTGCCGGGGCACCGTGTTTGTAACGGCGTTTCCGTTTGCTGTTGCCGGGGCCGTGTTTGTATTGGTGTGTTCCCGTTGAGTTTGCCGGGGCACCATGTTTGTAACGGCGTTTCCGTTTGCTGCTGCCGGGGCCATGTTTGGATTGGTGCGTTCCCTTTGAGTGTGCCGGGGCACCGTGTTTGTAACGGCGTTTCCGTTTGCTGCTGCCGGGGCCGTGTTTGTATTGGTGTGTTCCCGTTGAGTTTGCCGGGGCACCATGTTTGTAACGGCGTTCCTGTTTGCTGTTGCCGGGGCCGTGCTTGCATTGTTGCATTCCTGTTGAAATTGCCCAGCGGGCACCACGTTTGTCAATTGTGCCTGTTTGAAGTTGCCAGGCCAATCCTGTAACGCGCAACCGTTTGCTGTTGCCGAGTGACATGTTTGTCAATTGTGCTTGTGGCAAATTGCCGTACTATGCGGCGATAAGAATTACGACCCATGCATTGGCTTGTTATGTCCAATGGCTCTTTGCGGTACACGGCAATTTGCTATCCTTGGTGAATTTTCAAAGAGTGACAAATGTGAAAAAATATAATGGCAAACCCCCACAACTAGGTTCTCTGCTTGGTGTGCAGGTACGAGCAAAGCTTGCAAGCATATTGCAATGCGGAGTACATGCGTATGTATAGCGTGTGTATACGTATAGACCTCCTACACGGGGTCGTTCTCGGCACTTGTGCCAGTGGTTGTGAGACTTATCCACTCACCCCCACCGTTAGGCGCTGTATCTGCCGCTAGGGTTTACCGGGTGTTAGCGGCCGTCGTGAGTTCCCTTCGGGAACGGACACGATAATTTACTTTACTTTACACGAGGTCCCTTTGTTATAATTATATTTATACCTCTCCATATTCACCGTGTGTGGCCTCCTAATGGCTTGTTCCTCGCCGACAACTACTGATAACTTACCTTAGTGGTGTATATGGAGATATATACACCACTAAGGGAGGGCATGCCAAAGACTGTGGGTGTATATGGAGTGAGGTATAAATAATATCATTGTGCTTAGCCGTAAGGCCTAGCGGGTTTGTGCACACACACACTTGGGTGTGTGGTGGCAGGTACACGCTTGTAAGTTGTGGGTTAATCCACATTATAGTTTTCCATGTAATATGCCATTCTAAACAAGAAGCAACAGAGGTTCCAGCAGTGGCACTTTGCACACCTTCAGTAGACTATCACAAGTTCACAACCAACAACAAGGACACCAGTGACAGCAGCAGCGGTGACAGCAACAGCATTATCTCCGCTTCTCACCTTATCAGCCACCATGATGCGGTGCAAGCGCATAAACACGTCTTGGTCCCGCAGAGTGGGTTTGATCATGACCTGCCACGCTTGACGCAACAGTGCGTTAGGTATGCGCGTCTGCAGTGTCGTTAGCACCAGCACAGGCATAGAACATCGTCTACACGTATTAGCACAACAAATACCTCAAAAACGGCACAAAATGCAGCATACACGTAAGGGCAGGGAGTGTGAGCTCCACGCTGGGAGCAGCCAACTTCTTCGATTATCACCTCTGAAGTGGTAATTTCAACTGTACTAATTTCCCAGGTTGAGAATGCATTCTAACTTCATTTAGGTGAACACCAACACACAGGGGAGCAAGGCAAGCAGCATACCAAACTTTCCCGGCTCACGATGTTCATCTGGATGGTGTCAGGCCAATTCGTCAACATACTGTACATGCACACAAGAACACACAACACATAATTGAAGCACATATCGTACACACTACCCAAGTCGCGAGAAAATACATAATTATAAAACAAAAGCATTTTACTAACACAGTTGAGAATACATTTATTGTCGCCTGTGTAAATACATGTAAAAGAAGAGCTTTGAATTCTTCAAACGATGACACAGCAGCTAAGGGCCAGCTAGAAAATGCATAGCATACAACGGGTGTGTGTGTGTGTGTGTGTGTGTGTGTGTGTGTGTGTGTGTGTGTGTGTGTGTGTGTGTGTGTGTGTGTGTGTGTGTGTGTGTGTGTGTGTGCCAGGTTGCCAAAGCAGATCCTGTTTGCGGAGGGCACTAACACGCGGCCCCGCCATGGACCCAAGCGTCGTTGGAGAGATGTGGCAGCTTCAGACCTGCGTGCGACCGGTATCCCGGAGGCGCAATGGTACCACCTTGCTCAGGACCGGAGGGACTGGCGCGAACGTAGCCGTCGGCAGCCACCAAGCCAGCCCCAACCAAGAGTGTTCGTCTGTGTCTGCGGCCGCGACTTTCGCCGTCCGAATGATTTATCCCGACACAAGAACTACTGCCTCGCCTAATAGCTATCATCGCCTTCGGCGATGGGCTTTCCAAAGGTCCAAAGGTGTGTGTGTGTGTGTGTGTGTGTGTGTGTGTGTGTGTGTGTGTGTGTGTGTGTGTGTGTGTGTGTGTGTGTACTATCTACTGTAACTGTTGTTAGCCATGAAATCGCCTTGTGATAGCATTTAGTGTCACTTTCCAAATGCACCTCTAACAGCCTGGGTGAGGTTTGCCCTTGTAAAGAAGAATAGCAGTCTAACCCTAGTCAAGAGCCCAGCAACCAAGCAACAGTTCCCGGAATTCCGGAGCTCGCATGTGCCGTCTAATCTGTCAAAGTCAGACCCCCCCCCCCCCCCCCCCGCGTGGCAGGCGTGCAGAAGGTGCACTACACAGTCACTAAGGCTGCTCACTTACACAGCTTCAGTGCTATTCAACGTGACCATCATCTTATGCGTGGCTACAGTCACTCCAGCCGGCGTTACACGCTGCAGGAAAACAAAATGCATATCTGATAATATCAGCAATAGTAAATTCATACCAGAGTACATTAATTACTGGCCTGCAGACTTTCATAAAAAGTAAAAAGGACCAAGAAACTACAAGTCACACTATAGTGTCCACTAACACCCCCCCCCCCAGTTACTAAACAATCAGCTCATGCGATAGACATTGTACGACACTGACCGACGGTACTGACGTTCTACAACTAACTGGGCGTGCAATGTTATCGCATGAGCTGATTGTTTAGTAACTGGTGGTGTTAGTGGACACTATAGTGTGACTTGTAGTTTCCAGGTCCTTTTATACTTTTATAAATAACCCTTGGCTCTCCATCCGAGTTCATTCCTGCCTGCCTGCGAAAGTCTGCAGACCAGTAATATCTTCGTAACTCCATCGTTTCTCGTGCAAATTCAACAATCGAAGAGTCTATTTGGTAGCGGAAACTCCGAGCTATCCAATGCAACAATTGCCGAAGAGTTACGATGTCGGACGCCAGAGATATCGCGGACCATATTCTTACCTTGGCAAATTCAAATGTTTGATCGATCACTTCGCCATTTTGGGGGAAATCCCTTGTCGTGTGCTCTTTGAGCGACTGAGAACATGATTATGACGTAGTCGGCTGAACTTTGAATTGTCTCAAACAAATTTGAGCGTTCTACGATGCAGGAGAGTGGAATGGCGTTGATGGGACGAATTTGCTTGCATATCAGGCTTGGAGACGACTTTGCTGTGTTACCGTGCCTGATTTGTGGCGACTGGATAATGGAGCTAGATACCATGGCGTTACTCTCGTCAAGAGCTTTCCAACGAGCCCTAGATCGTGCAAATCAAGCGAAGGAGACCAAAGTTATGACCTGGTGAAGTTGAAAATTATGCTGACATTCGTAATTCTGGTGCATGCTGTGCTAGTAATCCGGTAATAAAGGGTTAACCCTTTAGGGCCCACAATTATTTCAAGAAATGCACTGCATGCGCGAGCCCAGTTACTTATCTGGTCGTAACTTTGGTGCCCTTTGGTCGATTTTGGTGACCTTGGGCTTTCTGGAAAGCTCTTGGCCAGTGGAACACAGCGATAGCCAGCAATCCATCATTGAATCCACAGAATCAGTGTCGCAGCGTGATTCGGCGCTCCAAAGCCAGCATTGCAAGCGCCCAACTCAAATTCTCTGCCATTTCAAGAAAATGTATCGCAGATTGCTCAGATTTTTTTACATGAGAGCTGAGGAACATGCCTTTGCGATGACGTGAACTATCTGTGACTGTGGCGTGGGCCGCGAGTCAGGGAAAAACCCCAAAACGAGTTCAAAATGCACGCGCCCGAGGTGACTCTGCTGAGCGAATTTAGTTCGAGTCTCATAACTTCGCTCACCGACCTCGGATCGCCTTCGGGGTTTTTTCGAGCCGATAGCCGAGACAATTTTTATGTCGATAGTCCTTTCGATTGTCCAATTCGGGTAAGGGTCGGCCGAGTTACGCCAGGTTGCGCTTTGAAAAGTATGCACTGTACACTGGTACGGATATAGCCGTACTATGGGCCTCAAAGGGTTAAAGGGGAAGTCCGGTTAAAATTTATATTTCAGGGTCGGTAGAGTTTCGGGCGCTGAGTCGAATGGTGTTGGTCCGACGTGTCTCCGACAAAGCGTTCTCGAGATATTTCCGTTTGAAAAACTGAGTTTCGGGGGCTGCGCCATGACGTCATGCGGCCGCACCACACCCTCTGCAACGTCATAGCGTGCAGCTAGGTCAAAAGGAGTGCGTGAAAGCAATAGTGTCAGTGCTATTTCAGATGATTTGGCGACCGATATTAGGTGGTGCAAGCGACCCCGAAGACGTAACTCCTTGTGAGAGTGAGGATGCAGCCATGGCTGACCTTCATGAGTTCGGTCTGGGCCTGAGAACCTCGGTATTCAGCTGAAGAAATGGCCGCGCGGGCCGGTAGAGCGAGCGCTACTGCGTTTCCGACTGATGAAGAAGCAGCAGCTATTGCAGACGAGGCTGATATTGCAGAGTCGCCAAAATGGAGAAGAGTGATGCGAGTCACTCAGTGCTCTAAATGTTGTTCTATACCGATTCGCTTAGACTCCAGTAGCCTGCCACATGGTGATGTTTTGGAGCGAACTTGGCATATTTCGGACTACTCAATTGGAGAACAGTGCAGGCTCTTTGAACCACGGGCACGACTCTTCGCTCGCAACGCTACGGAATCTGAAAGTTCTACGTCCGGGAGCCGTTCGCTGTTTTGTCACTTGTCACGGTTGTGCACTCATCGCTGTAGCATAAAATAATGAGGTGGGAGCGGAAAACTAAAATTTTCTTTCTCAAAGCACAACCACCGGCACCGGCAAGGAGAAACGCACGTTCTCTGACTACATGACTGTACAATACGACTGACACGAGTGTAGTACATGACAAGCCCGTGTGTTGACTAGTTTTCTGAGTCTTGTGTCAGTTGTGACTCGAGTCTTGTAGCTATACTACCCCAGCAAGGCAGTGCGGGAGTAGTTCCGTGTGTGATGAGTTTGTTGACTGCACTGCAGCTAGCATGCACGCAGCGCATTGCTAGAGCCGTAGAGGCCATTGCATGCGGACGGAAAAAGTCAAACTCGGAAACGGCTAAAATACGGTATAACCTCGAGGTTTACCGAGCTGAAAATCACAGGGCACGTAGTGTTTGTAACACTGAATCGAATGGTCTTGGTCCGAAGAAGCTGCGACAAACGGTTCCCCAATCGAACGCGCTCCGAATATGGCCATTTTGTACACAACTAGATGGTGTGGCTACTTGGCTGCACGCTGTGACGTCATCACCTGGATCTGGTTGATGCGCGCTCAAATTCGCACATGTTCGATTGGACGGATCTGACGAACCATAGGCCGCAGCCTCCTCGGACAAAGACCATTCGCCTCAGCGACCCGAACTCTACGGACTGTGAAATTTAACTTTTTCATCGGACTTTCCCTTTAAGGGTGGCACAAAACAAAAACAAACAAAAAACGTTTAGCAACATGCAAATGGCCCAGTAGCAGTCAACCTACAGTCAAACTGGCTAACCTTTTCCTCCCAAGCCAAATTGCCCTGCCAGACGGTCTTCTCAAAAGGATGTGTCTGCTGATCAGAACAATAGGGACAACATGAACAGAATTAGCCAAACAGACAACACCATGATTGCAAACTAGAATTGGTAGACAACTGTCAAGTAGAACAAATTGGAACCGTTTCCAATTAAAATGTAGTACATGCATCTACACCGTCCACACACACACACACGACTGGAACATAGCAAAAACATTCCGGAGCGCGTACATGTACTACATTAACAAATTGGAAACGTTTCCAGTTCGTTCTACTCCACAATTGGCGCTGTTTCTCCTGACTACAGCAATCTCAGATCCTGGTGTATGCATCCACGCTGCCCACAACCGCTCCTCTCACATCCATGCTGCTCGTGATCGATCCTCTCGTATTTACTGCCGCTGTCCGGGACTTCGATTCCCAGCCATTTATAATTTTGCACGCACTCCTGACTCAGGTGGCAAAAATGTGTAATTTTCGTCTCCCTAGACTGGAGGGTGCAATCTTCGCTACACACCGTGAGATCCGGGCAAAGAACCCCCTTTCTCAATTGCTTGCGGAAGAGAACTACATCTGGACAACAGGTGGTAAAGTGCAAGAAGGAAAAGAAGAAATGGAGAAAGAGAAGGAGGAGAAAGAGAAGGAGGAGGAAGACTGGGAGGAGGACTGGAACTGCATCAAAACACATCTAGTCCAGCTCTCAACCACACACGCAAAACTCACTATATCCTTGACAGGCTGGTGAGCACCTGAAGGTGGGAACTGCTGTGCTGGCGGTTGTGGCTGCTGTTGTACCCCGCCCTAACCAACACAGAGGGAAATATGTACAACTGTTAGAGCAACCACAATGTTCCATTCGTGCAAACTACAGCAGCAAATCAGAAGTGTTAACCCAGCAGAAGTTCCGCAGCACAAATCCTGCTGAATTAGAAAGGTGTTGTTTCAATTTTATCAGCAATGCGTACTGACAAGAACCCTAAGTTAGGCAAACAACATTAACATCAGTAACATGATATTGCATGACATGCACACCAGAACAGGTCCAGCTGTGGCGAGCAGATTCGGCCAGTCCTAGCCTTGGTGTTGTCAAAGTGAGATCAAACTGAGCCGAAACGACACACCACAAGCGACAAGTCCATCTGCGCGGATGTAGAATGGAGGGACTGCAACTCCAGTAGGTCCATATGAACTGCGCAGATGCCCCCCCCCCCCCCCCCCATCCTGCCCCAACCGCCCCAGACAAACGTGTAGTACCGGTAAGCATGAGGCAGATGCAGGTACGCACCTGTAGGCCAGCCAGCCGGGCGGCGGGTGTCTGCAGCGGTGGGGTTGCAGAGGGTGCTGGTCCAGCGTTGGTAAACTGAGGACGGACGGCACCGGGCTGTGGCAGGCCTTGTGGTGCAGTGGTTAGACCTTGTGAAGCTGGCATCGCCATCGAAGTGGTAGAAGGCGCAAACGTATTGGTAACACCTAGGCCAACAAGGACACCAGAAACAGGGTACGAGAAGAAACGAGCAATACAGAATTTAATATACATAGCTTTCAGAGGCATCATACGTTCACAATGACTGGATTCCAGCGCACAGTACAAATATTACATGCAGCTCATACAGAGCAAGAAATCCTAACATGCACTCATTTGACAGAAAAAAAGCTGCTAACAATGCACAAAGCGCTAAAATAGAAGAGAAAGCCCCAAGGCTGAGGAAGATCAGATGATCAGCAGCAGTGGGAATGGTGGTAGCAGCAGCAGCAGCAGCAGCAGGAGGAAAGGAAAAGGAATGGAAAACATACTGGTAGATGGGGCCCACTGCTGGCCCGAGGTAGTGGCGTCACCAGTTCGATTGAGCATGGTGGTGATCAATCCTGGATGGCGAGACGCCTGAGTATACTGGGATGGATGTGTCAACGTGGAGGTGTTCGTTGCTGTGAAAGGGAACATAGTCACACACAGTTATCGGCCATTAGTGCAAAGAACACTGAGAGAAGAACATCATGAAGGACACTCGCCAAAGCAAGCCTTATAAGAAGGCAGACACACATACGGACGGACGGACACACGGACAAACGAACAGAGAGGCCGATCGGCCAACTGACTGACATGAAGACAATTCAACAAGGGCTAGAAGATTCATTCCCAATACAAAAAAACAGAGAGACAAACACACAGAATGCCATACAACAATGCACACATACTTACCAGTGCAAGTACCCAAATTGATACCACCGCCTGGCACTCCAGGCGCCTGCTGAGGCATATTGGATCTCTTTTGCTGGAGGCCTAGTAGCACGGAGTTGGCATTCGGCGGAGATCCAGATGTGACAGAATTGGTTGACAGTGGCTGCTGTTATAATGGAGAAACAACATCATACACAATACGGTATAAGCACAACACAGAATGGCAAAGCTCATCTAAGGTACCTCCATCTAAAAGACAGTGTTAGTATTAGACTACAGTACAACGCACCAATGTCATCGTTGTGGATTTTTGAAAAAGGTTTGCTGCCTAGAAGCATAGGTGTTACAAACAGTAAATTAAAAAGCCACCTCTCTCACTTATCCACATCCATATCCGCATCAAGCACAGTCCTCTCTTTCACTTCTCCGCAGCAATTCCCGGATCAAGGACAGCCGTAAAGAATATCGGATAAATACAATCACCGCATCCCATAGCAGCCAGTGCACTGATGGAACAGGTGTGAACGACCAAACACGTGCACATGCGTCGCATGATCATAATGTTACCGTATTATCTCTATTACAAGCGCAGGGCTTATGATGGAGAACTGTATGGATCATGTCCATACATGTTTGACATCACACAGTACCACTTTACACATGCTGTGGTGCAAGGCCGTGATCCCCGAGATAAAAAGTACAGACTCAGTCTACCAGGAAGTACAAAAACTGCAGTCACGGTACCTGCTGAGAAAGTTTGTGTTACTGGTATAATAAAAAAAGAACAACCAATGTACTGTACATGTACCACATGGTTGAAACATTATAAGCCCAGTCTCTAGTAGAAGCCCAGTCTCTAATATAAGCCCGGGGTCCGGACTGGTCGAAAAAAATACAATCCCAGGGCTTATAATAGAGATAATAATACGGTATCTGCTATGCTACACTCTCCGCTTACAGATGTGCTGCTTTGAGCGGTTGGCCGTAAAGTAGCGCCCGCTGCAGGAAACAAACAATAGGTGGCAGCAGGCCAGTAAAGACACAGCCATTGTTCCGCATTGCCTAGTACACGTGAAGACATGATGACGACAATCTCTCAGCCACGCTCCAACGCCACCAAACCACACATATCGCGCACACATCATTCACGGTGCGTTCAAGAGTACTCACAACGGTTGGCGAAAAACCCGCTTTTGCGTCACCGCTCTGCATGCATGGCATACATGATCTATTGTGGTACATCTATCCAGTCGTCACGCACAGTACTCTTTTGGGCTTAATTTCAACTTGAGAATGGTGGCCTGACATTTCCCTATTACTAGTACAGTCGTCCCTCTCTAATCCGGCACTTTATAATCCAGCACCCTCGATAAACCAGCACAATTTTCAGTAGCCAAAATGTCCTCTTCATGCACATTGCAGCAGTAAATCAGATTTGTTAATCCAGCACCCTCCCTAATCCAGCAGATTTTCGTGGCACAAATGGTGCCGGATTATAGAGGGACCACTGTATATTATTTTGTTATATTGCGTGTGTGCTTTCAGGGGAGTGTGTGTGTGTGAGGGGGGGGGGGGGGGGGGGGGAGGGGAAAGGTTATTTTGTATACCTGCGGTAATTAGTGACAACTACGGGTGACCCCAAAGGAGTCGGGCCTGAACTTGGTGAGTTGCATATCAATGCTACAGAAGTGCGAACCAGCCCCGTTCCCCTCCAAACACACACCACACGCGCATGCATGCACAATTTTCTGCATGCGTACATGCCCCATTACCTGCGGAGGCTGACATGCCTGAAAGACCCGTGACACCGGCAGCATCAGCGACAAAGCTAGTATGAACTGAAGATGACAACGGCAAGTTTGTCTGCTGTGCCGAGCTAGGTGCAGACAGTGGCGCAGATGATACCGATGCGGACGTGGAGCTTGACACAGCGATACTGGTGGCGGCTTGATGGATTTTCTGTAGTTGCTGCTGTATTTTCTGCTGCTGCTGCTGCTGCTGTTTCTGAGCCTGCTCTCGGATTTGTTGAGCTTGCTTCTGCGCAGCCTCCAGGGCTTGTTGTTTCTGGGCTTGCTCCCGGATTTGCTTTTGTGCCTGCTCCAAAGCATGTTGCTGAGCTTGTTGCTGCTGTTGTTTCTTCTGCGCTTCTTCGAGAAGTTGCTGTTGTTGCCGCTGGAGTTGCAGGGCCTGCTTTTGCTCCAGTGCCTGCTTTTGCTCAATCGCCTGCTTTTGCTCGAGTGCCTTCCTTTGCTCGAGTGCCTTCTTTTGCTCGAGTGCCTGCCTTTGCTCGAGAGCCTGCTTTTCGAGAGCCTGCTTTTTCTCAAGTGCCAGTTGCTGTGCTTTGGCTTGCTGCTGTTGCCGTGCTTTGGCTTGCTGTTGCTGCTGCTGCTGCTGCTGTTGTTGCTGCTGCTGCAATTTCACCTGCAGTTCGGCCTTGCTCGGCTTCCTTTCTACGATCTGAACATCTGGTATGCTGGCCTCCGGTTTGACAGTGACTTGGCTGGGCGCAGAAGCAGTAGTAGGTGCAGCAGGTACCACCGCAGCAGGGGACGCAGCCTTCACAGCTGCAATAAGAACAACAATACAACAAGAAGGCTTTTAAAAACAATTATTCAAGTCCAGAATAACGTTGAGTGAATCTACCAACAACCAGTGGGCTACAGAATGACTACTGGCAATTCAAGGAGCAAGGGATCAGTATCCAGGGGAAATCACTGCCACAGAGAAGATAACCATTCCATAGAGAATACAATACATGTACAGTACGTATTACCTACAGCGTTGGTCTTTGATTTTGAGCATTTTTATCAGGATACTAGAGGGATATTATAACTATGACCGATACTGCATGTGTTGTATGCGAGTGGGGTATCAAAAGACGCCGCGCGTTGTACACATACACACTGCATAGTTGGTTCCAGCATACATCCTGTGTACTCATACATTTCGGAATGCATCCTATCATGCCTATGTAAGCAAGGCTCCTGACACACAACGACGTGGTTACGTCAGCATATCCTCACGATGGAGGCATTTCGGACAGCTAATACTACAAGTAGAGCTCACGAAACGACAGTGGACAAGTTTTTCACAAAGAACTAACTTCCTGTTCGCCTCTGGCACCACATGATTTTACATCAATTACTTTAACCCTTTACCATCCGTGCGTACTTGAATCGATCTCTAGAGATCGATGGACATGCATACACTAAAACATTCGTAACTTGATCGATTCTTGGCGGAATTTAAAGAACTAAGTATCTTGGAAGAAGCCGAAGAACCCAGCTTTCCATTGCATCAATCGGTAAAGAGCTGCGATGTCGCATTCCAAAGATATTTTGCTCGACATTTCAGCTACGGCAAAAGTCGAATTTCTTTCCGAGTGACTGACCTTCAGCGGGGATTTTCCCCTCTCCTGACATGCTGAGTCACTTTGGCATGCTTCGAGCGCGTGGGCAGCATGAAAAGAAACTCAAGCAAAACATTTGGAATGTTTACGATGAAGGAGCGAGAAATGGCTGACGAGGAGAGAATTTCCTCGTATATACAGCGATGGGGTGTATTTGAAGCTCCCTGGCGCTGGATATGTGATCTCGGTAGTGCCCTGTTTGAGCTCAATGTACGCAGCTCGTGGAGAGCTTTCCAGAATGCCCAAGATTGTGAAAATTGGTTGATTAGAACCGAAGATATTCTCAGAATAAGGTGAGAATTATTGCATTTGGGAGTGCTGGGGAAATTTGGTCGGATGGTAAAGGGTTAACCGATATATCGATTCGTATAGATTTTAGGCCGGTTAGGAGGTCTATACAGGATATATAGACCGAGAAAAAGACCGAGGTCCCCCGAGGTCTTTTACGAGGTCTATATATCCTGTATAGACCAACTATGAGGTCAATAATCTATTTATCGTGTTCTCCACGCAATAGTTTCTCTTCATATACGACATATCCGTGTAATTCTAGTATTATACTATAGCCTATACAAGTATATTATACTATAGGCGATACTAGTATATCACTATAGACGATTATTACTATACGCGGTAACTGTGTATACTGAGTTATGGCACATGAAAATGAATTTGAGAAGTTGATCACTATAGCCGTTATATTACTATAGCCGCCAACCTTATAGGCGAGGAGACACCAATTTTTTTTCAATATTGGGGGCAAGAGGACAAGTTGGATTTACATTTGAATTTATTTAATATGGCGTCAGTCAGCGTGGACGATAGGCGACAATTCCCTGTTTAGCAAGGTATTTTGCGCAGCAAGTTAATTACTTGCCTTTGCACAACATTGTTTCGGTCTGGGTGTTTTATTATTATTATTTGTTCTTCACTGCACAGGTAAGTAAAGGCAGCATTATTCGCATGGGCATGTCACTGACCAACTTCAGAGGCTAATGCTATGACAGTGCAGCAGTTAAGAAGGGCACGTAGAATGGGGTAGCCAAGCAAATCCAAGATGAGCAGCCGAAGGCCACCCATTGTTATGGGCATTCCCTCAAGCTTGCCACAAGAGACAAGGCAGTATGCACCAAGCAGTAACTGGTGCACGTGCAATAACACAAGTGAACGTTCTCTGAAACAGCGCACTGACCTGGAAGCTTTAAGCCACGGAGCAAGATGAGATTGCGACCAGACACGAGAGGCTCTGCTGGCACGTTACAAGTCTCCCCATTCTACATGAGGTATACACATGTGGGCGTCACACACGTGCAACAGACATACACACACACACACACGTGCAACACACACACATGCAAACACACACTCACACACACACACACACGAGTTCAGCACAACAAACGCAATAGAGCTTCGTCTGGCTTCTAAACTACTCCGAAGTGAAAGTGCACATATAGAACTCTGCCAGCACCAGCATAATTTGACGTCACACAGACGCAACCAATCATGGCGAAGCACTTGAGTCGCTATAATAGTGGTTACGCTGTACGTCCCCAGCATGTTTTAAAGCAAGCAGTGGAGTAGTAAAAATAGTACCCCTTAGCAGAAAGCCACATGATCTCTTGTGAGTCGTCCACATGATCATGGATATCCATACTGTACATATCCTGGCCTTTGTTAGTAAAAAAATCGTACTTGGAACACGCGATGTGAGTTTTCCCTGCACTCTTTGGGGTTATATACTCTTGGTACTACACACATGGCAAGGTACAAGAGCGAGAGTAACAGAACACATAGCGACGTTACAGCATCGTCAGGAAATGGCATGAATAACATCAATAGAGACCTACCGCGTCAAATAACTGCTTCATGCGGTTGTAAGGGCGCTTCGTCGGGGCCACAATGGACGTGCAGACACCCATCTGAGACAGGAATGAGGAGGACAGCATGGAGTGGAAGGTTAGAACACGGGACAACGCCTACAGTACTGTACGGTCCCCGAGTACTAGCATGCCGAAGCAGTGATTCATGTGTCCTGATAACCCTGCCCAAAGGTCATCTCGATGTAGGAAAGAAGCATCCACAGGACTAAAGCCACTACTGAAGTAGCACTAATGCTTGTACAGTACATATACATGCACAGTGATGGCCATCAATAGCCAACCTCTAGCAAAGAGACTGCACTGGAAAAATGGGCAATAAGCAAAGACCATCATAAAACAGCAAAGATGAGTAGCACGTGTGTTAAAAAAAAACAAGCGAGCAATTACACAGCACTGGACGAATAGGGCTTGAAAGTGATGCCGTCAGAAGTCAAAATCTAACAATAAATAACGACCTTTGGATCCCCTTGGGTCCAGTTTTTGTATGGGTCCATACACGTTCGGGTGGTTTTCCTTCGCAGCATAGTGACACATCCACCGGTAGCAATTGGACTAGGCCCTCCCGGTCGTGGACCCACACCTACCGGTGGATGTGTCACTACGCTGCGAAGGAAAACCACCCAAACGTGTACCCATACAAAAACTGGACCCAAGTGGATCCAAAGGTCGTTATTTGTCGTTATATTTTGACTTCTGACATGATCACTTTCAGGCCCTATATCAAGCTCACCGCGCCCATCCTTCGCATCAACTCCTGCGGTGTACAGTCGAAGAATGCCGGAGATTCGTACGCAGGAGCCAGTGATGGCGGGGTGTAGCAAACCATGATACATACACGAGACACAGGGCTGTGCACAACCACAAGCAAATGATGGCAAACAAGAAGACAAAACGTTAGGTGCTGCCCAAACTACACTCTCCCCTAGACACTCGACGATGTTGCAACATGAACATTTCGGAGAAGTCTCACTTGGCAAACGTCGTTCAGGGTTCTAGCCAGGTCAAATAGTAGGGGGGCGGGCATGGAAAACAGGCACCCCGTGTCCCATTTTTCCATTTTCCAATATTGCCTTGCCACGCTAAACGCAACGTATGGGGCGAATCCCCGACTTCGCCCCAGACAAATGTGCCTTTACAAGCTATCTAATAGTGACTTTCGACTGCATTTTCATTGAATTGCATGAAAAACACGAAAATCGGAAAAATGAGTAGGGGGCGGCACTTTTTCACAGGGGGGGGGGGGGGGGGGATGCAAACAGAGTAGGCGAGCGCTGCGCCCCCTACACCCCTTTGGCTAGAACGCTGTCTTTGGTATCACACATTTTCTCATTCTACTCCTTCTTTCCTCGCACTCTTCCCGTGCTAAGTTTTTCGTAGATAAACAACTCCGCTTTTTTTAATTTCTTCTCGTTCTCGTGTCTTTGAGATTACCTGTGTGTGTACTCCAGACGCCAGTCATGAGGCAGTCAAGTGTTCGTCAGTTAGTAAGAAGTGCAAGATCCAACATTGGGAACTGCTAACTTCTGCTTTCTGAAGATTGAATGTGTACTTTAGACGTAGAAAAAGGGTCCTTCAAGCAACACTGCACCCACTGGGCTTCAATAGGCTGTTGGTATACTATGGGAAAGGTGGTGCTCGCTCACGCCTAGGAGAGACCCAAAGTCAGTAAACCACATGAGCCAGATGCCAGCCACGGATACTATTCGAGGGACACTGCAGGGACAACATCAGACAACCTGGCTACATAGCTTGCTGTGCACTCACCTGGAATCGCCACTCCTTTCTCGCTCAGACTTGAACTCAACAAAACACTTCAGTGAAGCAAAGAACCAACATACCAAAACAAAATCGTTACGAGACAGGCAGTGCATGCATTAACTCGCCAGTGACATTTATAGTAGCCGACTTGTGTGCTGGCATACAGATTCTAAAGAACCAGCCAGCCTCCACAGGAAAATGAGTTGGTTCAAATAGAACCTATTTCAACAGTGCATGTAGAGCGAGTCTCTCTATAACAGACACCCTGGTAACCAGGTACGCTAGGGACCAGGTACTCAAGGAACCAGGTATGGTACGCATGGGAAAATGGCACACTAGGGACCGGATACCCTAATGACCAAGCAGGCACCGTAGGGACCAGATACCCCAAGGTCAGGACACCCCAAGGTCAGGACACCCAAAGGTCAGGACCAGATACCCTAGGGACCAGATGCCCTAGGGACCAGATACCCTAGGGACCAGATACCCTAGGGACCAGATACCCCAGGGACCAGATACCCCAAGATCAGGGCACCCCAAGGTCAGGATACCCTAGGGATCAGACACCCTAGGGATCAGACACCCTAGGGACCAGATACCCTAGGGACCAGATATCCCAAGGTCAGGACACCCTGGTGACAAGACACATCACACGTACATGTAGGTACCGGATACATGTGTCATGTAGTATACTGACTACAGAGTGCTGCAGTACAACTCAAGTGGGAGCAGTTGGGACTAAACAGGTGTGTGGTGAGTGTGGGGGTGTCCATTTTGTTGAGAGATGTCTGCAAAGGGCGGTTCTACCGTACTACCACTGGGTGTCAAGTAGGACAGACCAGTAAGGCTACTTTCACACTACATGAAATCCCCATAGGAACATGGTGAAGGCAAGAAGTGGCAAACATGACCAGAATGCTACATGCAAGCGCATCATCTGGTGCGTTTAGAATTTCTCGCCTGGGGAGAAGTACACCACAGTAAGCTTGGCAAGGAATGCATTGAGACAGCATTGAAACAGGGCTCAATGCAATGCAATATTAAAGCAGGAAGGGAACATGCCATTTGTCTCCGAACACAGCCTTTATTCGGTACAAAGTGTGAAACCGGCCAATTAGGCCTTGTGCCAACACAGAATACTTTCACCATAGTTTTCGGTCATTTTCTACTCGCTGCACCGAGTGAAATGGTGCTCCCCACAAACTACATACAATGAGCCCATGGAAGCTCACCAAACTGTGACTTAATCCGACGGACAATCGACGTATGCGCAGGGAATGTTGAAAATCCATTACAGATCAGCAAAGTTTTCACATTTGTACTTGTCGTGAAGCAGGTCAAGTTCGTAATAGTGCCACGTGCGCTGGACACACAAAGGTGGCGCCAGCTAAATCAAAACGGCTAAAGTCACAACCAACTAAAACAGTTCACATGGTACAATGCCTGGTGGCAAAATGAGTCCTCGTTGCGCCAAAGAATTGCTATTCCTTGGCACTAGGTTCATTGCTTCTTACCTCCAGTGCTGCTGCAAGGCCTTCGCCCATGGCAGTCTCGTTCACCCCACCGCCACAGTTGAAGCTGCACACAAAACAGCAAGTACATGTAACTTAGGCAGGTCATTGATACGCCAGAACAACGTGTGGGCTGCTGCACAGATCAATATTATTATACTGTACACTCTAGCATATGTAGGTTGGTTCTCTTCATCATGTTATTGTGACCAATTTCATAGATGTTGGTTGCCTCGTTACTTTCTCTCCCCTCTCCTCTCACCCAAGCCATTCTGCATAAGCGAAGCTGTGGACGCAGCATACTGCTGCTACACTTCAACGCGGAATGCGTATAATAATAATAATAATAATAATAATAATAATAATCCCGTTTGTCTCTTTCCCTCAAACCAGTTAATATTTTATGACTTGGGGCTCCCCGCGTGCTAGTTTGTACGTGAAGTGTGTGGGTACAGTGAGGGCTGCGTCCCACCCGCCTGTGTGGATTCACAGGAAGAGTGAGTTACGAAGTCTGAAGAAAACGTTGAACGGTCTCTGCTGGGATGACGACTACACCATAGCTCAGTGGTTAGAGCATCGCTGGCTACAAGCGAGGGTCCCTGGTTCGAGTCCTGGTGGTGACAGTCAATTTTTTCTTCAGACTTTTCCCGTTTGTCTCTTTCCCTCAAACCAGTTAATAATAATAATAATAATAATAATAATAATAATACACTCTAGCGGTGCCAAGCTACACAGAGCAGACATCAGGCAGGTAAGTTGGAAAAAAATCGTTTAACCCTAACCCTGGGAGCCATCCCCTACTAAAATGCATCATACACAACATTTCGTCATGATGATTTTCGCTCAAAGATGCATGAACTTCTTAACGTATGTCAGCGCCTTTAAAGCCATGGCCTTATATTCAAAACACCCCTGCTTTCCTAGATATTTTAGATGCAAAATGAATCACCCACTATGCCATACCATAAAAGTCCACACAGAAATTTCAATCTAAATCTACTTGTTCACCCTTCCTGCTGGGCTGTAAGTTTGTTAGCATAGTACTTATTCCTTCATTTTTACAAAACATACTTCAAACGTCATTTCATTTATGAAGCCCATGGCTTTATAACTGAGACTGGCTTTATAATCGAATATACCGCCATGGCTTTAAAGGTGCGGACATACGGTAGGTGGATTTCTCATGGGTACTACTTCGAGATAATAGCTATTATTATTATTATTACAGTATAGAGTTCTCAGGAGCGCACACTCGTAAACCAGCGACGGAGAAAACAAAACAGCTGAAACAAGATGATAATTTGGTACAGTCGGACGCCACTCTTCAAGCCATAGATGATCTCCAGCGCTGAAGATCTGTACCGTGCTTTTCAAAATCTAGCCCTCTAGACTTTTTTCAAATAATTCAAATCTGCTTTTGAGAAATCTCTTCGGGATATTGCTCAGGCAGTTCACCTAGTCTCTCATAAGTATAGGTTTCCAAGCGATCGGATACCAAACACCCAATTTCAGAAATTTCATGCACAAAGTGTTACTGTAAGTCTACAATTTTTCGGCCTAGTCAAATTTCGGCCTCCCAGGGCTAAAACACATTTCGGCCGCATTAAATTTTCGGCCTGTACTGCTGCTGCCTGTATATATACTATAAAGAAGAGGCACCTGTGACGTGTGTTTGTCTGTGTGTTACGCAGAAGCGCTGCGGAGCAGCGCTGCCCTGAGCACGCGAAGCGTGCGAACAGTGTAGCTAGCGGCCGCAGAAGCACTGAGCACGCGAAGTGTGCGAATCGTGTAGCTAGCGGAAGCAGCCACAGAAGCACTGAGCACGCAAAGCGTGCGAATCGTGTAGCCACCACCACGTGCTGAGCACGTGTGCTGTCCATGTACTTGCTTCACCCGCATGCCACGTTCGGCCAGGCAACGCTGGCCGGGTGCTGCTAGTACATTATAAAACGGGATTCACAGAAGCTTTTTTGTGATGCGACACGCGATGCGACGTGATCTGCGACGGACGCGTGGGATGCGAACTCGCGAAATACCATTCACAGAAGAAGTCCGCGATGGGACAACACCTTGCTGATTAGGGCTGGTTCACATATCGCCGGTACGCGCCGGGAGTCAACGGGAGTGGGCCTCTTGCAACCTCTCCCGGCGCATTACGATTGTGTGAACCAGTGCAGTCGTAACAAAATCATACGGTAAAATATCGCAAGGGACCGCCGGCAAAGTTGGACAGTGCCCAACTCTTGCGATCTGCCCCGGCACCGATCCCGTACGATTTTGACCAAAAGTGGTTTGTGAACCGTTTGCGCCGGTGATCGCCGGCTGCCGGAAGCCAGACTTTGTCAAAATTTCAAACCAAGGCTCGTCCTAAATTTTCCTAAACTCAAGCTAGAGACGAGGTTTGTTCGCTTGCAATCGCTTCAAGGTGGCAAATAAGTCAGCATACCAACCCGTCCTTTTCGGATCATCTGCATGACTGTTATACAACTTATGAGACAAATACAATTGAAACAAATAAAAAAATACGATGGATACATTGGCAAGTTCTTGTGACTTCATCAACGTTTGCATGCATAATTTCGACACCATTGCTTACTAGACTGCAATAAAATGTGTAGAAGTAGTTTCCTGATCTCCAGTAAAAGGTAGCAACCAGTGGCCATCACCGAAAGACCTTGAACTACTGAAGAAACAAAGAATTCAAGCTTCAATTGGCAAACCTGTCGTAGCATTTGGACACATCCTGTACTACTTTGTAGTAGATTTGGTACTCGAACAGTATGCGCAACGGATCGGGAGCTGGCTCACCGCCGATGTCTTGCGATGTCTTGCGGCGCCGATTTTGCTTATGTGAACCAACCCTTTGGTGCGGTTTGGTACAACTTGTACAAATTTATAGGCAACTCTTGAACCTTTGTACAACTTTGCTGTAGAAAAGGTCAAAATCGTACGCCAAATCGCTTGTCGCATCGCAAAAGTTGAGCCAAGCTCAACTTCTGCGATGGCCCAGTTGCGTGGGGTGTGAGATGGCTGCGATTTGGGGATTTCCCGGTTTCGTGGCTGTCGCATCGCAAAAAAAGCTTCTGTGAATCCCGCTTTACATACTGAACCTTGCAGAACAAAATTTCGGCCGAAAATTTGCCCAGGCCGAAAATAGCCGAAAATAAATATGCGCCGAATATTCGTTGACTGACAGTACAGATTTTACGTGGTATTATATATGCGGGCCTAACGCGGCTTTTTGAAACCAGAAGGCTTTACTTTTGAAACGCTCCATAGTTCTTGTCATGGTCGGTCCAATTATCTTCCTCTTGCTGAGACCTTTCCTGGAATCCCTAGACTGTGACAATAGACTTGAGTGACTAGAACAAGTTACGATCCACCTGCCAAATACGGGGTGCCGTAGAATAGAATCTGCATGCATCCCAGCAGCAAGCGCTTTGACCTTCCTCCCAGAAGCCATGTTACAGAGGGATAACGGATGAGTTGAGCAGGTGAAACAGGAAAAGAAGACTAGAAGGGTGGATTACACAAAGAAAGCAGCGGAAATACAAAAGCAAGCTTACGGGACAAGGTGAAGGTAGTCCATGAGGGTTGCTAAGTTGTTGGTAACTTCACTGGTTTCATACGTTGGCAATACGCACAGATGAGGGCCATTCAAGATTACGAGAGTCATCTTAGCTTCAGCTGTGTCCGCTGACTGACCAGACGTCTACATATGCACGCCAACATGTATGCACATACAAAAACACAAGTGCACACACGCCCAGTGACACACACACACACACACACACACACACACACACACAGAGACTTGCTGGTGGGCACACTCGTATACAGAAAGGACACTGCAAATACTGCAAGGATATCCTGATACACAATGAGATAGAGCCTGTGATATTTGACAGTGTGCGAATAACTTGAACAGCAGCATGTGGAGACAGTCATTCGTCCCATATTCCCAATTGGACTTGCGTTCCTCCAGTGAAATGGGAAGAGTGTGCCCTACTTGCTAGCAGTAGATAGAAGATAGGGACTTGTGATCTTCTGGGCGCTAAAAAGAATGAGGCTGGTCCACGAAGACTGCAATACGTGTACCAGTTCCATAGGAAGATGATAACATGGTTTGAGGGGGGGGGGGGGGGCTTACTCCCATGCACTGAACTGATCGTATAACGGTGTATGTCATGTGCTGTATGAGCAGAAATATTCGTCTGGAATTTAATTTCGTCTTTTTTGTCCAAGGAGCTTTTGGACTAAATTAAATGCCGGATTAATGTCGATGTCCAGCTTTTCAATACTCTCTTATTATCTGATCCATGGATGAAATTTACAACCGGACGAACTCCCTTTCTTTGGAGTAGACGAAATTATTGACCGACGAAATGTTCTGCCTGTACAGTACACGTTGTACATGTACCGGTATACCGATACTGGGTTAGGGCGCGTTCAGACTACCGATAAAAAGTGACGGAATGGGAAAGTTTCCACGGTGATTTGATCACGTGACGTTACTGGCACGCTACCGGCGGAAAAGTTTTACTGCCGCGGCTGCTGCGGCAGTAGAGCCTTTCCGGCAGTAAAAAGGGTGCTCAGGCTGGAAAAAAAAGGGAAAATCCCTTCTCAGTGCCGCGGTGGGAGCTGCAAAACTTGCATACCGGTAACGTTAGTTTATCGGTAGTGCGAATGTCCTTCACGGTTTGTCGCCTTTCACGGTTTGACGGGATTCATGGTAGTCTGAACGCGCCCTAATCCTTCTGCAGAGAGCGGGTCCTGTGATTCGGGACTGTGCTTCACGCTGGTGGCACCCGCATTTCTTGTAGATCTTGTTATAACCTATAGTGCGTTTCAAAAGTCCAGACCTCTGGTTTCAAAAAACCGTTAGGCCAGCATCTATATCACATAAAATCTGTGATCACTTTGTGCATAAATTTTTCGAAATTGGGCGTCCGTTATCCAATCGCTTAGAATTTTATATGAGAAAAATTGCGTGAGCTGCCTGAGCAACATTCCGAAGAAATTTCTCAGAAAGCTCAAACCAAATTTGAATTTTTCGAAAAAGTCTAGAGGTCTATACTTTTGAAACGCACTATAATAACTAGGGCTCAAACGGTCACGGTCTTACCCCTAACGGTTAACTGCTAAGCTAACGGTCGGTTTAACGGTTATAACCTATAAGCCACGGCGATCCTGCGGACTCTTTTTTAACCGTATATTTGACTATACTCATTCAAAAAATGTACCCTATCCAGTACAACGCACACATGTACATTTTCTTGCATGCTCATTCATACATACTCTCACACCAAGATCAGATATGACCGAGTTGACAGCCCAGAAACTGCGTACGCGTGCGACAGCCTGCGAAAGTGCATACTTTGCAACGACCTGATACTTGAAAAATTGACTGAAAAGTTACTGCGTAACCGTTATCTGTATCGGTTAACCGTAAATTCTTCGTAACCGGTCTGCAACCGGTTAATCGGACTAACCGTTTGAGCCCTAATAATAACCCTGTCATTGTCTTGTAATAATCTTGTAGATCTTGTTATAACGTTCAGTCGAGACTGCCTGGGCCTGTCAAGTGCAGTCATAATTTGGTGGCTACGACCCTGTAGTCTCTACATAAACAATGCACCTGGACGCATAGAGTTTATACAGTGAGCTTTTACTGCCGCCATATGCTCACTGGCACGTCATCAGCTGATGAATAAAATAAATAGTGAAATTGGGTCGAGTCTGATTGGGAGTAAGGGATGAACGCTGTATCGCAGCCTCCGCTGCCCAACACCATTCGACTCAGCGCCCAGAAGACAACAGGGTCTGAAAGTGTCACCATGCTTCTGCAAGAGCAAAGTGATGTTACCCAAGAAGTGTTCCGTGCACTCCCTATCGGGGGGGGGTCCAGGTGGAGATGTGCAAATTCTATTATGGATATGGGTGGACTAAGCGTCCATTCGACACAGTGCCCAGAAATCTACCGGCAGATTTTAGGCCGTACTTCCCAAAGCAAGCGCATAGCATGCATAAACGAGCGGCTGTCAACTGACCAAGTGTGTATTGTCTTGAGTTTGGAGACTGGAATCACTTGTGCCATTCCATCACATGATCACATGAAGGAAAAGCACAGAGTAGCCAAAAATGAATGTTTCTATTATGATTATGTAGTACATGTACCAGTTACCTCATTCTTGACAATACTGTGATGGCAGTTATTCCTTTCCAAAAAGTTCCTGCATGAAGACATGAATGAATGCAATAAAAATAAACAAGGAAATCAGGAATCTTTCGTGTGCTGAGTATATTAAAATGAAAGATAGCACATACTCAAGCAATGGGCGTATATAATCTTCATACAGCGGTTTGGCAGCCCGCATCAATGATGAGCGCTCCACGACCAACACCACATCGCAAGCTTTCCGCTGGGAGTTCTCCATCGTCGCAACACCTCTCACATCAGGAAATCCACAAAATGAGCATGAGAGGGAGAAATTGTTTTCTACTTTATGACCAGCCTACGACTAGTGAGCGGGTATTGGAGCGTCCAAAACCATAATCACAAACGGTTTTCACATTCTCCAGGAAGCTCGGGCCGCGGGAGAAACACTCGACCTGTTCGAAAGTATCAAGGCAAGCACTTGCAGTAAAAATTTTAGTTGGCTGAATGACGTCTACTCTCTCATTCTCAAGTCTTCACCATGTTCACAGCAGGGAGTCGTATTTTACGACTCCCTGGTTCACAGTGTAACTACATAAGGCCATCATTTTTTATATCTATGTTTCGCGTCAGGTCCAGAATCATATGCGAGAGGTGGAAAAAAATAAAAAATTGCAAAATAATAAAAAAGGCTCATCAGAGGTGTATGCACTGTACATAGCACAAAAGCTCGTGCATGGTGTACATTCGAAAGAAAAATCGTACATCGAAGCACAACATCTTGGTTATCAGCATGAGTAAATATTCACTTTGGACGGAGGAGGCAACCGTTGGTGCCTATGCTTCGCTGGATTATTGTGCTCAGACTTCAGCAGCGGTGCAAAGAGCTCCGGAACGACGCATCCTCTCAGCTTGAGGCGATCAATGCGGTCTGGTGTAAGCTCATAGAATATTGCTCCCAGATGCCGAACAAACGATTTACCAATGCTGGCCTAGAGCCTAGTAGAGGCCATTTCTGAATCCCAGCTTCGCCGTATGCAACCAGTCCACACTTATGACTCGCACGATCGTACATTCACTGTGCATGTTCGATTTTTTTATTTTTTTCCAAAAAAAATCAAAACGTATGCGTGCGGACGACGCGAAACATAGCTATAAAAAATGATGGCCTAATGTAGATCTACATAGAGTGCATGGTAGATCTACAGTACTATTGCCAGTATTGGTACTGGACTAGCCGACTTACAAAGTACACCAGTACACCAGGTACAATCACGTACACAAACGTGTAAGTGCACGTGCACGTACGTGCACAATGCACGTACGTCGGACGTCGTTCTCTGTCCACCGTACCCTGCATGCACTACTGTTGTTTTTACACTTCTTCGTGCTTTGTAATCAATGGTAATAAAATTAAAAGTCTCTAATCTAATCTAGTACACCAGGTACATGTACACAGGTAGGTCAGCATGCTAGCATGCAGTCGACTGCAGGAAGTCGTAAAATACCGGTATTTTACGACTCCCTGGTCGACTGCCTGTGCCTGTACATAATTATTATGTAGCTGTGTCTGTCGCCACTGCACTCAAACGAGCCAAAAATACGAACAGTCGAAAGCTAGGGTCAGTAGGGAGTACAATGTAGTAAAATACAAAAAGTCAAAGCTACAGATCAGAGTACAGTTTTGTCGTGACATGATATCCCATATCCCTGCATGCTGAGACCCTGAGTCCCGTTGAAATCACGTACACAAACGTGTAAGTGCACGTGCACGTACAATGTACGTGCACGATGCACGTCGTTCTCTGTCCACCGTACCCTGCATGCACTACATTGTAGCACTTCACCGTTCACGCCGCGAGTCTACGGGGCACCACAGCACAAAAGAGGCCGACCCTGCATGCACTCGACTCGTCACGTAGAGGATATAACCCGAGTCAGAGGGTTATACCGGCTGAATATAAATCCCGACTGCGATAGCAGGAGGGATTTATATGAGGGTACGGTATAACCCGACTACGAGGGTCATATCCTACTTATGCCAGGTACCCCTACGCATTTCCAGAACAACGAACCTATTTGGAGATCTCCTACATCATGCAGTACATGAACATCTTCTGATGGTTATCAGTTGTCAATTGAAAGAATGGTCGAGCAAGGTCAGAAGGAGATTCCTCCGTGGATGTTTGGCATACGATTTCCTTTCAGTTCCAGTGCATATTGTAGCATCTTCATGATCTTGTCTTGAGTCGTGAGCGGTGCGGAAGTCGACCGAATTGCTGCGGTGCTGGAGTTTGTCGTTGAATCAAACTACCGTCACTAGTTAGATTACAGCTTGGACTCTTTGGGAGTAAGTGTTACTATAATTATGGTACAGTGCTGATTTTCACATGGGGCATCTCATAATCAGTTTTGCTTGCAAGTAGATGCATTTGCATACACTGTTTTGTATCACATTTCAATCCAATCTATTGTAGCCTTTTCCAATCGGGTTGAAGTACATGTACACTGGTATTATAAACTTATTTACGAAGGAGACAGTCTGTTGATGATCTTCAACTCTTCGAAGTACAATGTACATTGCTGGCCCATTCGGGATACTTCGTGGTTATTCGACGTTCTTTATCCTCAGATTCAGTATAACAGAATACTCTGTAGACGAATTCCAGGTCATTCTTCTTTTCCATTGTGTACTGTTCCTCGTCAGTGTGCCGTTCTGTGTGGAGTGTACACGCGCATGTGGTGTCCGTTGTGTCTGTTTATGTATGGTCCGTGCGCTGGAGTACTGCCGCCGTACAAGTTCACTGCCTTTCAGGCAGTGAACATGTACGGTGGCAGTGCCCTAGCGTACGTACCGTGCACCGGGATTTATATTCTATATAAATCCCGCGCGGGATTTATACTGGCCCATATAACCATGGCTAGACGAGCGCTGATTGGCTGAAAACAGGCCCTCCGTACCGTACCATGGTATAACTCCTTTTATCCCATGTAAATTGTAATGTTCCCGCGTACCCGTTCCCGCCGGGTGGACAGAGAACAGTACTTCTCTGCTAATTCTTATACTGTGACGTCAACCGCAGAGAAGTGACATTTCTGCGATTGTCGGGAGATTTGCGCGGATCAAAACGCTGCTTTGAGTTTGAGTGGGGGATCCGCCGGCGGGAGGCCGCAATCATCATGATCATGCGTAACCATCATGATTCGATTGAACAATCAAGACTTCATAACCCCTACAGCCCTGAGTCTTGAAACAAAGGACTGATTATTCACTCGGGCTCGGTGTGCTTGACCCGACCGCACTGGGGAGTCCTCGGGCGGATAGTGCTTGAAAAGGTGGCAGATTCTGCTCGAAAAGCAGTGAAATTGGCAGAACCATACAAACCTTATGGCGGGCAATTCCTCGAATTCTGCTCCATTTCTTTATCCACATACCAAACATGCATGAAACTTACCAGAAAAAGCACCGAATTCTGCCAATTTTTCTGCCGCCATTATCCGCAAAGGCCTACTGGGGACGTAGTACTGTTCCTCTCGATCCGTCACCTCGTCGCTCGTCATCATTGGTCGAGACATCCAGTAGGCAGCAGGAAGCTTGCAGCTATGTGCAGGTCAGGGCCGTGTGGCATTGAAGCCGCAGTCCACGCAATGACCGACAACTCCCCTGACACTGATGGTGTTCTGTTGGCTGATGCGGCTTACGCATTCAACACCCTGAACCGCAGCGTATGCCTCCGGAACGTCCGCCATCTGTGCCCTGCGCTGGCAACGGTGGCCATCAACCGAAGCCCGAGTCGCCTATTTGTTGGCGGTGAAAGCATTTCCTCCAGCGAGCGCACCACACAAGGGGATCCTGGCAATGCCTCTCTATACGCCCAGTGTCTGCTCCAGCGCCGGGTGAGCCGGGTAATCCACCCGGTTGGGCGGCGCTTGGACCCGGTTGAAAATATAGTACCGGGTCACCCGTGACCCGGTTGGTACTTTACACTTTCGAACTTTGAAAGAACTGACTACATGGCTTGTATGTGTCAGATACTTCTTCTTCTTTCGTACTTTTCTCCCTGTCCTGAGTGTCCTCTCTTTTCTAAATGCGGCTATCCATTCGCCTTTGGGCCTATTTCCCGTTTATTGTCCGAATTAAAATAAACCAACCAACCAGTTAAAGCATGTGACTCGGCTGGTGAGACAGCGCCAGGTACATATGTACCCGGCTCCGACCCGGTTGAAATGGTTGCGCCAGGTACACGTGTACCCGGCTAGCTGTCTACATAGGCTACAATGGGGCTGTTAAGTGTGACGTCACGGCCCCTTCGATACGCATAGCAACGGAGAGCACTGGGGACAAACAAAAGTCGCGTCCTCTGGATGGAACCAGTTGTCAAAGGCAACAGCATCTAAATGACTGGAGAGAGAGCAGTTTTTCTTTGCTTTTTCTTCAAGCGATTGTTGTCGCTGTTTACTCCTTGTTCTTTCCTCTACAAATCTCCTGTAGTCGTCGAGGGCCTTCATAATGGCTGTGAAATTGGCTGCACACTGTAAAACTCCGTGTTTGAGAGTGCTTTGAAGATTCTTCGCGTCCTGATGGATCAAAGTACGAGCGCTCCCTGTGGATTCGATTATATGTAGGTGAGTTGTTCAAGAAATCAGTGTCTTCTTTCTGTCTCTGCCCTCACGCTGGCACAATAATATCAGCCTCTATATCCATGACAGCTCGCACCTCCCGTAAACTGCATGACTTAGATATATTCTCGCCCTCCGTGGTGATTGAAGACCATGGAAGAAGAGTTATTATGTTCAGAATGATGTCCTGAGAATATAAAATAAAATAATTCTAGGGAATTGTTACAGGGTATTTTGGAAGGATGGAGAGAGAGAGAGAGCACTGAAGTGTTTGTCTCACTGTAATTACTCCAGATTATTGAATGGTGTATGATCTACTCGATATTTTCCACAATGGTTTTTCCTGATTTGCGGGATCTCTTCTTTTGCTGTTTGCGTATTTACAGGAAGTGACTGTCTGGTGTATCTGCACCAGATCCTGGGGACATGAAGTCAGATGCAGAGGCAGGGTCGTCCAGTGATGCAACACTGCCGTTCTATGTACAACGTCACCGCTAATTCTCCCGGCGAAAACACAAAAAGACAAACACGTCAAGAGACTACAGTATTGACCGTTCTGGTAATGAATCGTGACTGCTCGGACAGTCGATAATCGAAGCACAGAGCACCAGCATGATGTTTTGATATTGGGAACCACACACCAGCTCAATTCTCAAGCCCAAAAATTGATGAATACAAAACACAGAGCGACGCAACAAGAGATCATCCGGCAACCAAACCAACCTGGGTCTAATGCACTAAATAGTCCTGAAATACGCAGGCCACACAAAGCAGTGCAAGCACATACTGTTACAAGGTACATGCATTGCAGAACAAAGTGTAACCAAAGATACACGGGGTTATAGCTGCACACTCGTGCATATGCTCGCTCAGCCCAAGAACACGCATGAT